CCGCGGCCGCGCCGGCCGCTCCCGGGGAAGCGCCGCAGTGGAGGAGCGGTCCCTCGCTGGGGTCAGAGCTGCCCCCTCTCCCCTTGCACCCTGCCCTGCACCTTCGCACGCCCTGCGAGCCCCTCACGCTGCCGAAAACGATGGAAACGGAGCTTAAAGGCAACCAAGGGGCATCCCGTTATCCCCTGCGGAGAGCAGAGCGGGATGGATGCCTCATCGCCACAGCCGCGGTGAAAGCACCTTGCACCCTTCCTTCTCCTCACCCAAGGCAACGACAGCGTGTCTTCACTGCAATGGTATCGTCAGAGATCCAAAATGAAGACGGCCACCTCCCCCAGAGGACCCAAACTATGAACGCTAAGGCAAAGTGAACAGGGTGCCTTAGGAGCCACCGAGAAAAGTACTAGCTATAGTTTGGGGGTTCTGCCAGCCAGGGGTTTCTTTGGTGTCAGGGGTTCTTTGGCTCTGTTACACCAAACCAGCCCGGCTGGGGGACTCCACGGGGGGCTGGAGGAAAGGACCTGCTTGTCCTCACCCTCCTGGCAAGGGGAAAGCAGAGCAGCATCAGGTGGCCCTTGGAGGAGGGACCGCAATGCTGGAGTTCACTGGATATGTTTTCCTTCAACTATCCCTTCAGGAAACAGCTATCATTTTAAGAACCTCTTTTACCTAGTGCCGTGTCCCAAACCATACTACACACGGAGCAATGCAACTGAATAAACATTACAGAAAAGTTCAGGCAACCCTGACAATCTCCCCTAGCCTGTACATACCCATCTGTCATTTTAGATGCAGTAATTGTGGGAACACACTAAAATACACTTCAGCAAAAGAGAGGGGAATTATACATACTCTGCTGGCAGTATTCATGGGAACAGTGTCACTCAGGCTGCTTTGAGCATCTCAGACAGAGAGAGGAAGACTACGTATTGATAAGGTGAAAACATTAACTTCGGTAGCTGCTTTGCACCAAGTTTTCTGATTTCCACCATCAGTACTGTTTTCTCCAATTACATAGATTAGATAAATCTCTTGAAAGCTAGTTTACGTATGACAGCAATGCAATTATTTTGCATTAAGTACCGCTTCATGCACAGCAACCTACCTGTTAACTCCTGCCCTTCAGACGACACGGGCAAACGTGCAGTGAGCAGCGCTTTTCTGCTCCTCCCTCCAGCCCCAAGACTGGAAGATGCTCCATTCAGACTAAGCCCTGCCTGCAGGCTGTGCTTTTAAATGGAGCTGAGCTCACAGTTCAGTTTACTAATGCCAGCATGGTCCGGGCCCAAACAGGCACTTCACTGTGGATGATGGAGAGGAGAGAGGTGGCATTTCAGCTCTTGTGGTACCCTTCCAACTTCTCCTTGGAGGATGAAACTGAGGGTCCAGCCCAAAGCCCCGGTGGCTGCTGCCATGCTTCGTATACCTCGCACCATCACTGAGGTGGATGTTTGCAGCGAGGGGGGCCAACTTTGCTGTCACAAGTCAGAAGAACAACTGGGGACTCAAAATCGCACTGTTAAGGTTTCACCACACAAACCGCGTGTTGACTTGGTGAGAAAAAAAAATAAAAATACACTGGGCATTGTCATCACTGCAATCGCTTCGGGAGATAAGCACTTCCCTTCGGCCCCGCTCTGAAAGCTGCGTACACAGCACCCTGGCAAAAGAAACAAGGCGCAGAAGGATGCAATCCTCAGCTGGAAGAGCTCTGCAAGGTCATCCCTTTTACAAAAACGTCCCCTTGCAGCACAGGGTGGAGCAACAGGCCGTCCTTCCCCTGGCACACATGCTCCCGGGCATGCGGCAAAACAGCCCCCAGCACCACATTTTCAGGGTATCAGCCCAAGGTTACAAAAAGCCCCTCCCAGCCAGTCCCTCCCAATACGCACCATGGCGGTGAGGCACTGCGATTCCCGCACCATGGCGGCAGAGCTCAGCAGGGCTGCGAGGATGAGGGTCATGCTGAGGCAGATCCCAAAGTAGAAAGCTGGAAGGAAGTCAGATATGGGAGCTGCGGTCAGACATCAAGACTTTAGGGGTAACAGAGGCCTAGGGAGGGGCCAAAAAAAAGTGCTTTTTGGGGAGCTGGTCCAAGAGGACCGGGTTGCAGAACTGAAATTGTTTCATAATTTTTTCAATGCCCCCCCCCATATCTGCGTATGCTTTGCCTGCGCGGCAGGGCTGTAAACTTCTCAGCGGTTCCCACAGCTCCAGCAGAGCAAAGCACCCTAAAAGGGTGTCAGTCCACCCGACAGACCACAAGCTGTCAATTATAATTATTTCAGCACTCTGATAAGGATCCCCTCTCCCCTTCCCCCCCCCCCCCCCCCCCCCCCCCGAAACGGGGCAGGGGAGGGGGGATGCGTGGTGATGCGCAGCAGCTGTCCCACGGCCCCTATCGGGACTTCGCGCGCCGCTAATCGGGTGCAACACTCGCCCTCCAGTTTCCTCCTGCCCAAGGCAGGGTCACAAGCCCGTACCCCGGGGCAGGGCTCGGGGACCACAGCGCTACGATGGGCTTTGCAGCCCTCACTCAGGGCTAACCCTGTCAAGAGTTAACGCCGGCAAGCAAAGCAAGTGGAAGCGCTGCTGGAGAAGGGTGGCTGGGAAGGGAGAACCTGCAAGGCTGAATTCGGTGCCAATCTATGTAACCCCTGGGATGTGTAGGAAAGGGGGAGGGCTGTACCTTAGCTTTGGACTAACACGGTTCTTACACCTACCTTGTAAAGCTGAAATTGAGAACCAGGGTCTAGAGAGGGTACGAACATGTTTAAGCCCAGAGTACAGCTCGGGAGAAGCTGCAGACACAAGTGCAGCAGAAGCGAGCAGAGTATTTCAGTATCTGGGCTGTTCTTATCTCTTTGCTCTAGCTTTGTACCCGAGACTCAGTTCATTCTCCCTTGTGCTTAGAAAACCACATTTCCTCCAAAACCAGCTGTTTCTGTACATTTCTCCTCCCAGCCTCAATTGTCTATGCTTTGCTTCAGCTCCTGTAACAGTTGCTCTCCCCGTGCTCCCAGGGCCCTTCCAGCCCCGCTGCACCTTTGGGTCCACCTACGGCTGAGCTCCCCTTGAGCTTTCACTGCAGCAGAGGGGAAGGATGGGGAGGTGGTGAATAGAGGAACAGGGGTGAACGCAGCAGCACCTGAGCACCCTGTGCTCCCACAGCACCCTTCGGTCCCAGGCGTGTGGGTCCTATGCAGAAAAAATTGTCTGTGGGACTGCGTTAGTCGTAGTGCATCCTCCAAAAGCCAGCCCCTGCCTCCTTCTGCAATGCCTCTGCATTTCCTTTGAATGCTCTGGGGGATTTTGCAGCTCCTGGGTTCACCAAAGGTTTCGCTGGGATGAGACCGCAACCTACCTGCGTGGTGGATGACCCTGTAGGAGTTGGTCTCCAGAGAGATGTTGCTGAGGAGGGTGAAATGGAGCCCGTAGTGAGTGACTGTGCTCAGCGTGGCGATGGACAACCCCAGCAGCTGGAAAAGAAGGTTTTTAGGAGGGGATTGACACGGCAGCAGTTCCTGCTGCACGCACACAAAGCTTTGAGGTATAGCTGGATACTCCTGAGCCCCACACAGATGCAGACAGCCTGATCATCCGAAGACTACTGCATGTACCCCAAAATGCACATAAAAGGACAAAGCCTGGACACTTAAACGTACTAAAGATCCTCTTTTCTCTTGCACAACGAGTGCATGTGACACTGTACAGCCCATGGTCTCTTGGCCGGTGTCCATGGATGAAATTCCCACCACGTGAAGAAAGCCCAAAGGATTGATGCTCTTGCAGCACATCCGTGCAGTCCCACCCCGCTCTGCGGAGCACACACGTGCAGTTACAAGGGCTGCCAGCTTCAAGGGGGCATTTGGGCAGAGATGATGTTCTCTGCTTCGCTCTTTGCAGTGCTAGTCCCATTGCCTGCTGTTGGCTATATTTCATATTGTAGAGTGAAAAGAGCTGAGTCTCGTACTACTCTAAGTAATCTGTGCTGGTTTCTGTCTCCGCAACATGCTGCCAGGCTGTCCGTGTTTCTGTCCCATCCCTGAGAGCACTGGTGTGCCTGCCTGAGGCATGGGGTGACCACCAGCATGTTACCCTCTGTGTTGCCCAGAGCAAGTCCAGGTGATGGAGAGGGGACACTTCTGATGGCACCTGGTTATAGAGCAGGGCTCCTTGCTGCACGACCGGTGGCAGAGCTGGGACAGAGGCACCACCACGGCGGGACAGTTAAAACCAGCTCCAACTCTAGTGTAATGAACCTGGAAAATACAAGATGTGAGGCCACTCCTTGGTCCCCAGACAAGGTTTCAGCATTTTGTGCCTTTACAATATGGAAACACCAGGCAGCTATCCCTGTGTCAAATGTGACAGTCTGGTGTCAATATTAATCCCCACTGTATAACATTTTCTTCCAGAGCAGACTAATAGCTCTTGCTTGAGAGTTATAGTTTTGGAGACTAAATGCACCCAATCCATAGTGTTTTCTGCTTATAAATAACCTAATTTGTGGCACATACTGATCCTTTATGCTGTGCATTACTGCGTATCTCGATCCACGCCCAGCAAAATGCTAAGCGCAACACCAGTTAGCTCAGATTTCTGAGAAACACCAGTCTAAAATCCTCCCAAGAGCAATAACGTGATTCTTGCTGCCCATGGCAGCTGTGCCTTAGCATCTCCTCAAAACACCTCTGGTACCAATCCTCCTTTGATTTTCTCCAGATAAGATATTCTGCTATTTGGAAGAGAGAACGACATACAGTCACTACCACCAGTGGGCCTGAAATGTTGAAATTTGGACAAACTATAAATCTCATGTGTGACCCAAAATAAGGCATCACCTTTTAATTATACTCTTTCCAAGCCACTGACCTTCATTGAACTAAATACAGATTATTATTATTATTATTATTTTTAAAGCTTGCAAGTTTTGATGACGTGAAAAAGCAACAAGCACAACCAACTCGAAAACATCCAGCAGAAGCGTTCCCCAGTTTCCACCGGTTCCCACCAGCTCTAACAGCAGCTGTGAAAAGGCTTCCCTTGAATTTGCTTCAAAAGCTGATAAAAAGGATCCCTAGAACTGCTTTTGCTTTGCCGTGTGGATCCACAGGTCTCGCATATCCTTCCACCGAAGCCTCACAGTTTCATATCCTCACTGATCCCACCTGCAGCTGAGCACCCTCCCACCAACAAGTGTGGCTGCAGCAGGTCCATCCTCCCTCTTTTCTGCAAGGAGAGAGGAGCATATATCCTTTTTTTTTTTTTTTTTTTGCTGAAAACCACCCATTCTGCCGGCAGCGATCTTTTCTTTCTCCTTGGAGGCGGCCACTGGGTTGTGAAAGAGCTGCAGCGGCGTGACAGCCCTGAGAGACCAGAAGTCTATCAGCAGAGCAGGGGCGATGCTGGTGGCCAGTGATAACCGCCCAGGGCACAACGATAACTCGGGCAGTTGGCTTTGCTTGCCCTCCGCCCGTGAAAAACAGAACGTGGGAAAACCCGACCCTCTCCGAGCGGGGATGGGAAAGGCAAAGCTTCACCTCGATTTTGCAGAGATCCCCCCCAAAGCTGCCTACTCACCATGACGCAGAGGCAGGTCACCAGAAGTTGGCACTTGGTGGTCCTCACGCCGCACCTCAGTCCCATGGCTGCTTGTCCCCAGAGAGAGCTGGCAGTTGTTCCCTCCAGCTCTTGATAAAGCCTGGGTTTCCACCTAAGGGAGGCATGGCCACAGCGGGGCCTCTCGGGAAGTGTAGTCCCCACCACGTGCTGATGCGCCTCCTCCTGCCCCGTTATTAAATCTTGTTCAGAGCAGCCGCCTTCTGCCCAGGCTCTCGGTGAGCTGCCATCAGCTCTGACACGCAGCCAGCTGGGAAAGGAGCAAAGGCATCCAGAAAAACAGCCTTTCATGAAATTTGGAGCAAAGCTCCTTAAAAATTTTTTTAAAACTGTTCAATCAAGAGTCAGTATCAAAATACCCTTTTTTTCGCTTTCACTGGGATGCAGTTTTGCCTAATGAACATTGTTATTAATATTTTTTTTAAAATACGTATAAATAGTATCTTGGGAAAAAGTCTAGGAAAAAGTTATTTAGAAAAAAACCAAACAACCTGTTGTTTAAAGAAGACATCAAAAACCCCAAACAGATCTGCATAATAGTCTTCCTTCCCCATTTAAAAACCACCACATAGCAATAACCTTTGGCTGAGACTCTATTAAAAATTTTATTTGCAGATAAAAAAAAATAAATCCCTTTGGTAGTATTTTATTCATGAAAATGGCTATACATAAACATAACCCCCTGCTCAGGAGACCCTCACTGTCCATGAATATTTTGAATATTTAGAGTCCTAGCACTGAAGACCCCATGGAGAGGAGACTCAGGTAACTTCTGGTCTTCAAAACCAGCTGCCTGCTGGATGCATATTGCCCAAAAGCAAATCGCAAAGAAGCCTCAAGAACAATCTGACCAAAAGGAGGCTGAATGACGAGTGCCTTAATCATCCTTAGTTTTGGAGCTAGACGGGTGGAAAAGAGGTGAAACAGAATGATGGAGAATAGTTGCACTCCCCCCAGGTGGCAAAGAAAGAAGGGGAAAAGGTAAAACCATCCCACATCAGTACCTGTAGTGACAGGAAAATAACAAAGAAGAAGGAGGATGGGAGTGAAAAAAGGAAGGAAGATGCATTTTGTAGAGCAAAGAGAAGCAAGAGAAGTGAGTTGCACAAAGTCATGTGCACAGGAAAAAGCAAGTCATGATTTTCTCACTACATCACTAGCTTTCTTGCAAGCTTTCTTGCAAAACATCTTGGTTGCAGCCTCCCAGGACACCGATGAGAACTGCCACAGCCGTTTCCAAAAACAGGTGTCCCCCCTGGCTCGTGGGTCCCTGCCCTGGTTGGGCTCCCTGATGCCCAGCAGGGGACAGTGATGTACCCATGTGCACACAGAGACCCTCCTACTCCAGCCTTCAGCTAGAAACTACCTGAGAAAGACCAGCAGGGAAGGACAACAGTAGGGAGAGGACTACAGAGAGAGGGCAACATGCTGGGGAGGCAGCTGATGCCCAGCCACACATGTCCAGGAGCAAGAACCAAACACCATCCACAGCAGCCCAGACCTCACGGGGACAGGAGTACAGCTGCAAGGTGACCATGTCCACATGGTCCTCACCATGGGCCAGGTCCAGAAAGTGCCTTATAAAACACTGTGGTCGAATTAGGAGAGCATCCAAACGCAGAGTTGTTAGCACCCGCCATTTCTTCTGGTGTCATGGGACAGATGGTTGTGTTGTCACCTGCATTTTCAAGGGGAATGACCACCAAAGGGGCACAGGTTATACAGGCAGCAGGGTTGGTCCATAGGTGGAGTTACAGGTTAAATCTGAAAGGGTTGCAACAAAGCATTAAGCACAGCTCTGCGTGTAAAACTAGCTACAGAAGCCCGACCAAGAGCCATGGTGAGTTAGAAGCGAGGGCGCAGCGGTGGTGCACACCGTGAGCACCCCTGGAGCCTGTTTGACAGCAAGGGACACGAGAAAATCCATGCAGCCCATCTCCATTTTCCCCTAGACCCCAGCTTCTTTCCCCAACCCTAAACGCATGCTACCGGAGACCTGTACAAAGCCAGTTCTCACACTAGAGGTCCCCACAGGCCAGCAGAAACCCTTCCCGAAGGCCTGGATGACTCAAGTGGGCTTTCTGAAGGGAATAGATGGGCAGTTCTCTTCCCGGTTCCCCAAAGACCTCCTCCGTCCTTGCAGGAGCCTCACACCTCACTGCAGGACCACCTCAGAGGTCACAAAATCATCATCTACACCCCCTGGAAGTGCTCCTAGTCTTTCCACAAAAGATGCTCTACCTCCTTTTGTCTCCAGCCATAAAAACAAGCACCTTCACTGCCTCACCAAGCTCTCAAAGCAGGTCCATGACTTTAAACACCTGGCTTTAAACAGATGTTTCCTCTGGTTTGGTTGCAAGTGCCTACTGCTAGGAGTTTGCCCATGTCCTCTGATGCTTCAGATGCTTCTCCGACCTCCAGCGCTCAATGGTCTGTCTTCCTGCCCGCTCCCCTGATTACCTGCTCTGGTGCTGCGCTGGATTTGGGGGTGGGAGCATTTTCTACCGTTTCTCTTTCCTCCATCTTACACTTTATCCCATATAGTTATGCTTTGAAAGATTTCTCTGGGGCAGAACATATGTGAATTTCTAACATCAAAACCTAATGAAGAATAAAAGAATTTGCTCTCTGCCCCCTAAAAGAGAATCAACAGTAGGAGCATAAGTAGACCTGGGGCGTCAAGAGGTTGGGCTCTGATTGAGGGAGGCACAGGCAAGGGCCTTACAGCAGTGAGCGCAGGGGGAGCCCTGCGTGCTCATCTTAATCGTGGACAGCCAAAGGGGGTCTTTACGGCACTTCACTTTCTCCGGGACTAAATTTCCTCTGGGTGCAGTGCCATCGGTGTACGCCTGCCTCGGCAGTTCTCTGCGCAGGGCGAGAAGCAGGGTGTCCCCCCCAGCCCCATCCCAGTGGGATGAGAGGCAGGGCTGGAGGTACGCCGGAGAACCATCCTTGCAGCCGGCGCACAGGCTGGATGGCAGCGTGGCTTTTCTGGCAAGGCTCGGCCTCCCGCCCGCCCTGCCGGGTTTTATCAGTTGGTTCCCTTTGCAAGAACACAACTTATCGCTCCCAAACGCGGCGCAAAAAAAACCCACAGGTGACCACAGCTCCCGCCTGCGGCTTCCTCCCTTATCTCTGGTTATCAGATGGAGCTCAGAAAGAGGGTAGCCAGGCTGAAAATACCCTGGGGAGCCCAGGTGCCCTCTTCCTCTAGCCTCCCAGCAGCTTGCAGCCTTCTTTTAGGCTGTGAAAATACATGCTGGCACCCCCAGCTGCACGGGTGTCGGAAGGATGTGCCACCTCGTCCGGAAGGAAAGGATTGATTTTAAAAAAGGGGAACAAAGCCAGATCATATTTTTTCACAGAGCTAAAAAAACCCCTCCAACCCTCTTCCGAGCTGGAGGGAAACGCTGCCCACACTGTCAGGTGGACACCCTAAAAGAGCTGGGGGGGTTGATACGTTAACGCTGCACGGGGTGAACTTGGGAGACTAAATGTAAACGGAGCAGAAGAGGCTGAATTCGTGCTAGTGCTTTCTCACTGTCCCCTTTCCTGGCTCTCGCTCCGTCGGTGCTGCCACCAAGGATGCAACAGCGGCACCCCAACCCCGGCTGCTTGAACTCCAGCCAGTCAGCAGGTAAGAGAAATCTCCCCCTCGGCTTTGGGGTGCCGCCACTCACGCTCCCGTGAAAGGATGGGCTGGAGGCAGGGGAGAGGAGGTAGTCCCAGGAAACAAAACTACACCCATCGTCCAGGCGGGACACATCCATGCCAGGTCCCTGCCGCCTCGCGGGAGTTTCCTCCTTTTGCCAGCCCCACACAACCGTTAGGGAAAATACCTCTCCTCCACGGTAGAAAAGAGCTCCAAATGCAGCAGATTTACAGGTGTCACTGGCTCAGCCTGCTCGGTCCCTCAGCTGCCGTCCGTAGCACGGCTGTATTAACCCTAAAGCTCGCTCGTAAATAAAACATGCCCGTATCAAACCGCACCGAAGCCGTAGGACTGACGGGAAGCCCCGGAGACCTCCACAGCCCTCGTCCGCCTTCCCGGGTGCATCACAAGGGTGCATTGTAAAGGCTGCTTAGCATTCATAGCGCACAGACGCACAATCAAAGCTAAAAAAAAAAAAATAAAATCAACTTTTAAACCCCGGGGCTGCCTCTTTTCAAGAAGGGAAGGAGAAGAGAAAAGGGGGAGGTGCTGGGCTTTGCCAAGCTTCAGATGCACCATACAAGTGCGCCGTGAACGGAAACAAGGCTGGCCAGAGGCTGCCTTGGGAGAAACAAAAACCGGAGAGAAATCCTAAAATCTCCAAAGGACTTTTTTATTTATTATTAGTTCCAAAGTGTGTCTCAGAAATCCTCCAGTCATTCCCAGGCATTTTGAAGTTAATTGTAGGTGTGCAGAAAAAAAAAAAAAAAGTCAGAAGAGTTATAAAAAAAAATGTTAGAAGAATTATTTTAAAAAGTTCATCAAGCCCAAGAAAGATTACATTTAAAAAGAGTGTATGTTGAGGACAGGGAGTTCCCTTCAAAGAATAAACTCAAATAAACTTCTTTCCCCCAAAAAAGTGAAACAACTGTACCCATAGCTGTAGAGCATGCCCCCCTACTTAAAAGTAAATTATTTTTTCTGTTCCACATGGTATCTAATTGCAAACTATAACTGCCCAGGAAACAGCTGTGCTGGTGATAGACCTAAAGACACAACTCGAGCCCTGCTCCCAGCAAAACCAGTGCGAGCAGAGCCCAGCCTGGCAAGCGGGGATTCACCTGCTTGCCAGGGAGAACGGGGCTGCCTGACTGCCCCTCGCCACTTATTTCTGGCATGTGCTCTCTCAAGCCTTGTCACAACAGAACCCCTACTGCTTTCCACTGAGGTCCAGAAAGTTTTGGCCAAAAAAACCCCAAGGCTCATGTGAGCTGCCTGTAACACATGGGTCACAGCGGGACTGGCCCAGCATCTCGTCCCCCCGTGGTCTCACCGACACATGTGCCAACTCAGGTGGCAGCGTTTTGCCCTCACC